CGATATTCAAGAGTAAACAAACGACCTCACACATCTAATACACGTCAGCTGGTGGGTCTAATATACATTCACAAATATGGTGATGATATTTATACAATTATTACAGTATTGCATAACAGTAAATCTTCTATTTTTTGGTGTGAATAAAAATTCATTATGTGAATAAAAAATCAAAATGGAATTTATTTGTAAAGCCTCAAAATGTAACTAATGAACAGAGGAAATGTTAGTTTAGTTCCAGGAATACCTACATTGTTTATTCTGGAGCCTATTTTGAAATTGGAATATTTTGAACTTTGTGTTAAATTGGCCAAATTAACAATTTCCGATCACTTTATTTTGTAGTTGAAACAGTTGACTTGGCGATTTCTTGTGCTCAATCGATAGAATAGAAGTAATACTAGTGAAATAGCTAAGAATTTGTTTGATTGGAATAATGTAATTGGCCTAAAATGGGAGTCAAAGTCGGCAAAATCGCCGATTTGTAAATATCGCTGACACATCAAAATTCGCGAGAGCATAATTTCGTCAATTTTCCACCAAATTTCGTACTTTTTGTTTTATTACCGTCACAAAAAGATTCTCTACGATTTTATTAAGAAAAAATAAAAAAATTTTTTTTTAAAATTCTTGGACACTGGGGCACCACTTCAGATTTGGACCTTGGACCCTGAAAGGGTTAAACATGCCCAGAATATCTAATACTGTTGAAATAACAAAAAAAGTCACTGTCAGTGGAATGCCTTCCATCTGAACAAAAGAAACTAATGGAAAAATAAATAAATAAAGAAACGACTAGGAAAAATAAGAATAATGACTTTTTAGGATTTTACTTAAAATTTAAACATAATAAAAAAAAATGGCCTTTGGTTCTTGTAGTCGGGCAGGAGTAGGTAAGGCCCTGGACAGATCTCTGATGTTAAAGATGTAGGTTATCCTGGGCGGATGGTAACAGTCCGATGTATTGGAATCTCCTCTACCACTTGGTTGGAGCACCACAAGTAGAACAGATAAAAGCCAGTAGTAGTCCAATAATGTTAATAAGTCCCATTAACAAATGTCTTGCTCCTTTATCTGGTGTCTACCCTGGATGACCATGCCAGGAACAGAGCTGGTAATAAGAAAAAATACACTGGTTACCAATGATCATGATAATATAACATTTAAGAATGGAAAAGAGTGATAAATGCCAAAATCATTACTGGTGACCAGCAAACAAAAGAAAGGAATAAACAGTAATACTCCTGGTAGATCACCCTACCTGATTAGGAGAAGAGTGGAGGTGAAGTGACTCTCCAAACCTCAACCCACACCAGGTAAGGTCAATACTTACCAAGAGTAGAAATTTAAACAAATCAGACACCAAGAACTAGTTTCGCCCCAGCCCGCCAGAGAGGGGGGGGGGTGCACGGCGTAACACTCTAATGGTTCCTGGTTGCCTGAACAACTGTAACCCCACTCACGCCTACTTTTCCCTCACAATACCCCCTTCCAAAACTTATGGACGGAGTCAATAAGTAAATGAACAGAGGGAAAAGAACTATGTACAACCTCGGCTCAGCCAATCTGAAAAGTGGTTTTCAGAGCCAGAAATATATATAACTTTAAACTTATAGGGCTGAATAGCCAGAGCCCATCTCAAGAGTCTGCTATTTGACCCTTTGAAGTTCTCCAAGTACAGTGGACCCCCGCATAACGATCACCTCCGAATGCGACCAATTATGTAAGTGTATTTATGTAAGTGCGTTTGTACGTGTATGTTTGGGGGTCTGAAATGGACTAATCTACTTCACAATATTCCTTATGGGAACAAATTCGGTCAGTACTGGCACCTGAACATACTTCTGGAGTGAAAAAATATCGTTAACCGGGGGTCCACTGTACATCAGTGGCCTGTGATCTGTTTCACGCACAAAGGGTTTTCCATATAGGTAGTATTTGAATCTACTTATACTCCATACTAATGCGTAACATTCTTTCTCCACAGTGGAATATCTTTCTTCTCTGGGCAGAAGCTTCTTACTGGCGAAAGATACTGGGAAAGGAGTCTCCTCATAATATTGAAGCAGTACAGCCTTGAGTCCAGAATGGGAGGCATCTGTTTGGAGACAAAATATTTTATTAATATCGGGTAATTTTAGGACGGGGGTCGGAAAATATTCTTTTAACTTCTTCGAAGCTTTGGATGGCTTCATCAGAACAACTAAGAGGTTCCTTGACACCCTTCTTTAAATAGTTTGTAAGAACTGAAGTCAAACTACTTAAATTTGGTACAAAACTTCTATAGAAGTTTACAGATCCAAGGAAACTTCTTAATAACTTTTTGGTAGCAGGGAATTTACTTTCTAAAACAGCTTTAGTCTTATTAGGAAGTGGTGAGAAGTTGTTGTCAGAGATAATGAACCTGAGGTATTGCACCTTAGGATAGCCAAGAAAGCACTTCTGTGGTTTGACTGTAAGGCCATGAGTTCTTAGTCTTTTCAAAACGAGCGACAGTGTAATTAGATGGTCTTCCCAGACATGTGACATGATATAAATATTATCAAAATACACTGAGACATTCTTTAGATCAGAAAGAACTATTCTCATAAGCCTAATATACGTGGCACACGCGGTAACCAAGCCGAAAGGCATTGTGCGATGAGTAGGGAAAGCAGTGTATGGTTTCGAGTCTGGGTGTAATGGCACTTGATGGTATGCTTGTGAGATATTTAACTCAGAGAAGAATTTGCAGTCATGGAATTTATACAAGTCATGATCGATCACTGGCATGGGTTCTGCATCCCATTTAATGATAGTATTTAAATAACGAAAATCTTGTGCTAGTCTGTAAGAATTATCAGGTTTCTTAACCATAACAACTGGGGAACAGAAAGCTGATTTCGAAGGTTCTATGATATTTAAGTTAAATAGTTTGCCAACCTTATTATCAAAAGTTTTCCGTAAGTGAACAGGAACGGGGTAGATTTTCTGCCTTACTGGTTCATGATCTGACAATTCATTCTTGTGTACAACAGAGGTGGTAAGTCCTGGTATCTCTGTGAATACGTCAGAAAATGTATTTACTAAGGCACTTACTTGAGACTTTTGTTTATTTGATAGTTCGTTGTTGATGTTGACATCTGACTTCTTTGGTGAAGGATCATCCGTTAAGATATCCAGTAGTTCCTTCAATTCTGTAAGGGACTCGTCATCTATAATACAAACTTTGCACTCGTACGAATCACCACTTGTAACCACGCTATAAGAAGTAGTATCTTCGTCAAAGGAGTTTAAACAAAGATTAACTTCCCTACGATGGTACCGTTTCAAAATATTGACGTGATACATTCTTTCCTTACCCTTGACATCCAAGATATAATCTACCTTATTACAGACTTTCACAACTTTATATGGTCCGCGCCAGGTAATTAGCAATTTGTTGGATTTGTCGGGTAGAAGAACTAAAACTTCATCACCAATATTAAACTTACGCTTGGAGCTTTTATGATCAAAATAAGTCTTGTAAGTTTCCATAGACATCTCTAGGTTTTTAACGACCAAATCGGCGGTTTCTTCAAATCTTTCCCTTAGATCTAAAAGAAACTGATAGCTGTTTTGAACCTCAGGTTTAATATCTTTGGACCAAAGTTTATTCAAGATAAAAAGTGGTCCACGAGCTTGTCCCCCATAAAGCAATTCAAAAGGGAAATAACCAAGGGAATCACTTGGAATCTCGCGCATTGCGAAAAGATCACATGGTAGAAATCTATGCCAATCCGTTGGTTTAAGAATACATAGTTTCTTTAATATTGACTTTAGGATGGCATGTTGTCGCTCCACTCTTCCATTACACATTGGATGGTAAGGTGTAGTAAAAAGAGGTTTAACACCCACAAGTTGATAAACCTGTTCCATTAAATCTGAAGTGAATTGTGCCCCTTTTCTATCTTAAATGTTATACTCACAACCAGTTGAACCATCAGGACAATGTTGCTTCAAGAGTCGGATCCTGGCAAGGTCGCCATTGTCAGTGGAACGCCTTCCATCTGAACAAAAGCAACTAATGGAAAAATAAATAAATAAAGAAACGACTAGGAAAAATAAGAATAAAAAAAATGATTTTTGAGGATTTTACTTAAAATTTAAATATAATAAAAAAAAAATGGCCTTTGGTTCTTGTAGTCAGGCAGGAGTAGGTAAGGCCCTGGACAGATCTCTGATGTTAAAGATGTAGGTTATCCTGGGCGGATGGTAACAGTCCGATGTATTGGAATCTCCTCTACCACTTGGTTGGAGCACCACAAGTAGAACAGGTAAGGGCCAGTAGTAGTTCAATAATGTTAGTAAGTCCCATCAACAAATGTCTTGCTCCTTTATCTGGTGTCTATCCTGGATGACCATGCCAGGAACAGAGCTGGTAATAAGAAAAAATACACTGGTTACCAATGGTCATGATAATATAACATTTAAGAATGGAAAAGAGTGATAAATGCGAAAATCATTACTGGTGACCAGCAAACAAAGGAAAGGAATAAACAGTAATACTCCTGGTAGACCACCCTACCTGATTAGGAGAAGAGTGGAGGTGAAGTGACTCTCCAAACCTCAACCCACACCAGGTAAGGTCAATACTTACCAAGAGTAGAAATTTAAACAAATCAGACACCAAGAACTAGTTTCGCCTCAGCCCGCCAGAGAGAGGGGGGGTGCGCGGCATAACACTCTAATGGTTCCTGGTTGCCTGAACAACTGTAACCCCACTCACGCCTACTTTTCCCTCACAGGCACAATACCGTGACTGGAACAATACACAAATAACCAGCACATAAAAGAGAGAAGCTTACGATGATGTTTTGGTCCGACTTGGACCATTTACAAAGTCACACTGTGACTTCGTAAATGGTCCAAGTCGGACCAAAACATCGTTGTAAGCTTCTCTCTTTTATGTGCGGGTTATTTATGTACTGTTTAAATTTTAGTTCAAATTGTTTTGTAAAAAGATCTCATTTAACTTTTCTTTTACAGTTGGCGTTTGCAGTGTCAGTACTGTAGTAAACCTACCATGCTGACACCCAGTATCAGCACACTGAAGAAAGTGATGAAAGTGCTGAGATCAGCTAGTATCAGCACCAAGTTTAGTAAGGCATCCAACACTGTCTGAATTACCGAGTACAACTGTTATCAGCACCAAGTTTAATGAAGTATACTACACCATCTGAAATACTGAGTACAGCTGTCAGCACCTAGCTTTATGAAATATACTATACTGCCTGAAATACTGAGTACAACTACTGCCAGCATCAAGTTGAATGAAGCATACTATACTGTCTGAAATACTGAGTACAACTGTTGTCAGCAACAATTAACTTAATATAGGATAACATAAGGTTTGTTTATGGTATATTTAAAGTTATATGACCTTCACTAACACCCACTTAAACAACTTACACAGCCAGTTTCAGCATCCACTTAACTTACAGAACCTACCTCAGCACCCACTTAACTTACAGGACCTACCTCAGCACCCACTTACACAACCTACCTCAGCACCCACTTAACCTACCTCAGCACCCACTTACACAACCTGCCTCAGCACCCACTTACACAACCTGCCTCAGCACGCACTTACACAACCTTATTTATTTTAAAACTTATTAAAGTTAAAAGAGTTCACACATTACTGAAAGTTAATACATTATTTATTAAAATTTACAAAGAAAAAACATTGTACAGACCTCATTGTAAATATTTTATGACAATATTTTTTCTTTTAAATCTGTGTTAGTTACAAGAGTTCATATGAAAAGAATTTCCTATAAGTTGCCCAATATTTTTTCAGAAAAACCTTCGCTGTAGACCGTAATAAATGTGAGACAATATGGGGAAAGAGAGCACAGTAAGTATATTGTTTTGTGAAGTACAGTAAGTATATCGTTTTGCAAGTACAGTAAGTCTATTGTTATGTGAAGTACAGTAAGTCTGTTGTTATGTGAAGCACAGTAAGTCTATTGTTGTGTGAAGTGCATTAAGTGTATTGTTATGTGAAGTACATTAGTGCATAACTGACAAAAATTACTGATTTTTTTGTGTGTTAAAAATTTGAAATAAATCAGAGGCAACATGAAGGTAATGAAGAAACTCCATCAGTGTTCTGTTTGTAATAAAGTTTTTCCAAATAATTCTAAACTCTTGAGACATAATGTTACTCATACAGGAGAGAAGCCATATCATTGTTCAGTGTGTCTGAAAGACTTTGCTAGAAAATTCTCACTAATACAACATCAGAGAGTTCATACAGGAGATAAACCATTTCAGTGTTTACTGTGTCTGAAAGACTTTGCTACCAAAGCCTCACTAAATCAACATCAGGTAGTTCATACAGGAGAGAAACCATTTCAGTGTTTAGTGTGTTTGAAAGACTTTACTCATAAATCCTCACTGAAACAACATCAGAGACTTCATACAGGAGAGAAACCATTTCAGTGTTCAGTGTGTCTGAAAGCCTTTGCTAGAAAAACCTTACTAAATATACATGAGAGAATTCATTCAGGAGAGAAACCATTTCATTGTTCAGAATGTTTGAAAGACTTCACTGAGAAATCTGCACTAAAGAAACATCAGAGAGTTCATACAGGAGAGAAACCATTTCAGTGTTTAGTGTGTCTGAAAGCCTTTGTTAGAAAATCTATACTAGACAAACATAAGATAGTTCATACAGGAGAGAAGCCTTATCATTGTTCAGTGTGTCTGAAAGACTTTACTTATAAATCCTCACTAGACAAACATGAGAGAGTTCATACAGGGGAGAAGAACTATCAGTGCTCAGTGTGTTCACAACAATTTTCAGTAAAATGTTCTCTAGTGAGACACATGAAGACTCATACAGAAGAAACAACACATGAGTGTCCAGAGTGTCAGAAAGTATTTTCAAGTGACTCTCTTTTAGTTAAGCACATGACACTTCATAAAGAACATAAACCATACAAGTGTTCAAGGTGTCTGGAAAGTTTTTCCCATGAAACAAACTTAGTAAATCATATGATAACTCACATATGAGGGAGAGTACATAGCAATGTGAATGTTTTAAAAACTTCTTAAGAAAATCTCGTCTTATAAAACCTCAGGAAAGTGTTTTCATGTGTTTCCTAGTGGTCACCCGAGTGTACTGGGGTCATCTGACTCAGAGGTGCCACATGTGCTACTACATGGTATCTAAATTACAATCATGAGTACATACCCAGTATGTCAGGAGCCAGGCACAATTATTGGCTGACTGGTACTGACTCCATGCTGGCTAGGAGTCCAGTATGGAAAATGGTGTGGAAATTGTCAGGCAGGTCCTTCAGGTACTCAAATGAATCAGTTCCAGTCCTCAACATTGCTGGTGCAGAATTACCAGATTAATCTGATGTTGCAATTTCTAAAATATATCATATTGTTTATATTTTCCTTGTGCACACCTGTCTCCTGCTTTACATCATTCTAAATTCCTCTTGTAATTTACTTTCTTTATACTATACCTTTTTTTTTTTTTTTTAACAAAGTCGGCCGTCTCCCACCGAGGCAGGGTGACCCAAAAAAGAAAGAAAAAATCCCCAAAAAGAAAATACTTTCATCATCATTCAACACTTTCACCACACTCGCACATTATCACTGTTTTTGCAGAGGTGCTCAGAATACAACAGTTTAGAAGCATACACATATAAAGATACACAACATATCCCTCCAAACTGCCAATATCCCAAACCCCTCCTTTAAAGTGCAGGCATTGTACTTCCCATTTCCAGGACTCATGTCCGACTATATGAAAATAACCGGTTTCCCTGAATCCCTTCACTAAATATTACCCTGCTCACACTCCAACAGATCGTCAGGTCCCAAGTACCATTCGTCTCCATTCACTCCTATCTGACACGCTCACTCATGCTTGCTGGAAGTCCAAGCCCCTTGCCCACAAAACCTCCTTTACCCCCTCTCTCCAACCCTTTTGAGGACGACCCCTACCCCGCCTTCCTTCCCCTATAGATTTATATGCTTTCCATATCATTCTACTTTGATCCATTCTCTCTAAATGACCAAACCACCTCAACAACCCTTCTTCTGCCCTCTGACTAATACTTTTATTAACTCCACACCTTTTCCTAATTTCCACACTCCGAATTTTCTGCATAATATTTACACCACACATTGCCCTTAACTAGGACATCTCCACTGCCTCCAACCGTCTCCTCGCTGCTGCATTTACCACCCAAGCTTCACACCCATATAAGAGTATTGGTACTACTATACTTTAATACATTCCCTTCTTTGCCTCCATAGATAACGTTTTTTGACTTCACATATACCTCAACGCACCACTCACCTTTTTTCCCTCATCAATTCTATGATTAACCTCATCCTTCATAAATCCATCCGCCGACACGTCAACTCCCAAGTATCTGAAAACATTCACTTCTTCCATACTCCTCCTCCCCAATTTGATATCCAATTTTTCTTTATCTAAATCATTTGACACCCTCATCACCTTACTCTTTTCTATGTTCACTTTCAACTTTCTACCTTTACACACATTCCCAAACTCATCCACTAACCTTCGCAATTTTTCTTTAGAATCTCCCATAAGCACAGTATCATCAGCAAAAAGTAACTATGTCAATTCCCATTTTGAATCTGATTCCCCAAAATTTAATCCCACCCCTCTCCCGAACACCCTAGCATTTACTTCTTTTACAACCCCATCTATAAATATATTAAACAACCTTGGTGACATTACACATCCCTGTCTAAGACCTACTTTTACCGGGAAGTAGTCTACCTCTCTTCTACACACCCTAACCTGAGCCTCACTATCCTCATAAAAACTCTTTACAGCATTTAATAACTTACCACCTATTCCATTTACTTGCAACATCTGCCACATTGCTCCTCTATCCACTCTATCATATGCCTTTTCTAAATCCATAAATGCAATAAAAACTTCCCTACCTTTATCTAAATACTGTTCACATATATGCTTCAATGTAAACACTTGATCTACACATCCCCTACCCTCTCTGAAACCTCCTTGCTCATCCGCAATGCTACATTCTGTCTTACCTCTAATTCTTTCAATTATAACCATACCGTACACTTTAATTGGTATACTCAGTAAACTTATTCCTCTATAATTTTTACAGTCTCTTTTGTCCCCTTTCCCTTTATATAAAGGGGCTATACATGCTCTCCGCCAATCCCTAGGTACCTTCCCCTCTTTCATACATTTATTAAACAAAAGTTCCAACCACTCCAACACTATATCCCCCCTGCTTTTAACATTTCTGTCATGATCCCATCAGTTCCAGCTGCTTTACCCCCTTTCATTTTATGTAATGCCTCACGTACCTCCCCCACACTTACATTCTGTTCTTCTTCACTCCTAAAAGATGGTATTCCTCCCTGACCAGTGCATGAAATTACTACCTCTCTTTCTTCCTTAACATTTACTAGTTCCTCAAAATATTCTCGCCATCTACCTAATACCTCCATCTCCCCATCTACTAACTCCCCTACTCTGTTTTTAACTGACAAATCCATACTTTCCCTAGGCTTTCTTAACTTGTTTAACTCACTCCAAAATTTTTTCTTATTTTCATTAAAATTACTTGGCAGTGCCTCTCCCACTCTATCATCTGCTCTCCTTTTGCACTCTCTCACCACTCTCTTTACTTTCTTTTACTCTCCATATACTCTGCTCTTCTTATAACACTTCTGCTTTGTAAAAACCTCTCATAAGCTACCTTTTTCTCTTTTATCACACCCTTTACTTCATCATTCCACCAATCACTCCTCTTTCCTCCTGCCCCCACCCTTCTATAACCACAAACTTCTGCCCCACATTCTAATACTGCATTTTTAAAACTATTCCAGCCCTCTTCAACCCCCCCCCCCCACTACTCATCTTTGCACTAGCCCACCTTTCTGCCAATAGTCGCTTATATCTCACCCGAACTTCCTCCTCCCCTAGTTTATACACTTTCACCTCCCTCTTACTTGTTGTTGCTGCCACCTTCCTCTTTTCCCATCTACCTCTTACTCTAACTGTAGCTACAACTAAATAATGATCCGATATATCAGTTGCCCCTCTATAAACATGTACATCCTGGAGCCTACCCATCAACCTTTTATCCACCAATATATAATCTAATAAACTACTTTCATTACGTGCTACATCATACCTTGTATATTTATTTATGCTCTTTTTCATAAAATATGTATTACTTATTACCAAATCTCTTTCTACACATAGCTCAATTAAAGGCTCTCCATTTACATTTACCCCTGGCACCCCAAATTTATCTACTACTCCCTCCATAACATTTTTACCCACTTTAGCACTGAAATCCCCAACCACCATTACTCTCACACTTGATTCAAAACTCCCCACGCATTCACTCAACATTTCCCAAAATCTCTCTCTCTCCTCTACACTTCTCTCTTCTCCAGGTGCATTCACGCTTATTATAACCCACTTTTCACATCCAATCTTTATTTTACTCCACATAATCCTTGAATTAACCATACCCCGGCCGGGATTGAACCCGCGGTCATAGAGTCTCAAAACTCCAGCCCGTCGCGTTAGCCACTAGACCAGCTAGCCACAATAAGATTCGTCCAACTAGGTATATTTCTACACAGTGGTGCCTGTGCTAACCTTCCTATGGTGTAGAAATATACCTAGGTGGACGAATCTTATTGTGGCTAGCTGGTCTAGTGGCTAACGCGACGGGCTGGAGTTTTGAGACTCTATGACCGCGGGTTCAATCCCGGCCGGGGTATGGTTTGTTTGCAATCATGTTATTACGATTTCGTGAGTCATGTTGACGGCAGTGAAGGGACTTGAGCTAGAGTTCGTCACGGCCACGCTAGCTGGAGATTCGTCTGTAAAAACTTGCATTTGTGGTCACAGTGGTGCCTGTGCTAACCTTCCTATGGTGTAGAAATATACCTAGTTGGACGAATCTTATTGTGGCTAGCTGGTCCAGTGGCTAACGCGACGGGCTGGAGTTTTGAGACTCTCTGACCGCGGGTTCAATCCCGGCCGGGGTATGGTTTCTATGTACCATCCTTGAACTTGTATCAGCATTGTTTAAGTGTCAGCCTATTACAGCTGGTCATGATAGTTTACATGTTTTCATAAATATGATTATAATGAATTACCCAAGCTATACTGACTAAAATTATATACTAGATCTACATATGAGTAGTATGTAAGACTTATGATTAGTTTACTTGAAACATTTGTACATAATTAGTGGTTTTCTTCCAAGTCCTATATTGTACCAGATCTCCACATTATAATAACTTATAATAACCAACTTGCATAACTCATAAGAAATAAAAAATAATGCTTATTATTCCTCTTCACTAATGTTTGATCTGCTGGAGTGTTATCCCTGAAATAGAAGTCTGCTGTGGTCCTTACTTTGTGACAACCAGATGTGTTAAGCTACAGTCCCTCCCACTATTGACACAGCTATTACTAGTTCACTTGTAAAGTAATGGAATGTGTGGTTAATAGGAGACTAGTGTGGTACATGCAGACCCAGCGATGGAGCGTTCAATGGTCCCTCCTTTTTCTTAATTAATCCATTTCATAGAGTGTGACTATTATCGAAATTGACGATTTGCGAAACCATTCTCCCCATAAGAAATAATGTAAATCAAATTAATTCATTCCAGACACCCAGAAGTCTCAACCAAAAAAAATTTTTTTTACCTCAAAAAGAATGAACATTCAACATTACAGTTACCTATATTGAAGGCTGTTGTTGATGGATGGAAGACAGGGAGGAGGGGAGAGGGAAGAGAAGTTATTGTTTTGAAGGGGAATCCCCCTCCATATGGACTCTAGGTACCAAGTCCTTATCAAGGGTCACTTCCCTAGCTTAAATATAGATTTACATGCAGAAAAGTGACAAATAAATGTAAAGCACTAACTTTTTCTTGAATTATATCGTGTTTCTAACATTCTTTACCAAAGGGCTGGCACTAGAAGCTTTCTTTGGGCCCATGGTGGCTTATTTAGCAGTTGCAAGCACTAAAACAAATGGAATATTATGAAATGTATCGTATAAATGCATGGGATCATCCTCACTCGCCAATACACAATGGAACACTGGCTGGGAATGGAGTGTGGGGCCTCTCGAAGCGTGCTTATGCATCTGGAATGAACGGCTATTTGCGAGTCAAATGACAATTTTCTCGAGTCAATGTTTTGACGAAAAAAATCATGATTTTAAAAATTTACGACTTCTGATGCTTAAAAAAAATGAGGGACCACTGTATAATAATAATATAATATTACCTGGAGTTTTCCTGGAGAGAGTTCCGGGGGTCAACGCCCCCGCTGCCTGGTCTGTGACCAGGCCACCTGGTGGATCAGAGCCTGATCAACCAGGCTGTTACTGCTGGCTGCACGCAAACCAACGTACGAGCCACAGCCTGGCTGGTCAGATACCAACTTTAGGTGCTTGTCCAGTGCCAGCTTGAAGACTGCCAGGGGTCTATTGGTAATCCCCCTTATGTATACTGGGAAACAGTTGAACAGTCTCGGGGCCCCTAACACTTATTGTATGGTCTCTTAACATGCTAGTGACACCCCTGCCAAGTCTTTTCCTTTCGTTGTGAGTGATTTTTGTGTGCAAGTTTGGTACTAGTCCCTGTGTAGGATTTTCCAGGTGTATATAATCATGTATCTCTCCCGCCTGCATTCCAGGGAATACAGGTTCAGGAACTTCAAGCGCTCCCAGTAATTGAGGTGTTTTATCTCCGTTATGCGCTCCGTGAAGGTTCTCTGTACAATTTCTAGGTCAGCAATTTCACCTGCCTTGAAAGGTGCTGTTAGTGTGCAGCAATATTCCAGCCTAGATAGAACAAGTGACCTGAAGAGTGTCATCATGGGCTTGGCATCCCTAGTTTTGAAGGTTCTCATTATCCATCCTGTCATTTTTATAGCAGCTGCGATTGATACAATGTTATGGTCCTTGAAGGTGAGATCCTCCGACATGATCACTTCCAGGTCTTTGACGTTGGTGTTTCGCTCTATTTTGTGGCCAGAATTTGTTTTGTACTCTGATGAAGATTTAATTTCCTCGTGCTTACCATATGTGAGTAATTGAAATTTCTCATCGTTGAACTTCATATTGTTTTCTGCAGCCCACTGAAAGATTTGGTTGATGTCCGTCAGGAGCCTTGCAGTGTCTGCAGTGAAAGACACTGTCTTGCAGATTCTGGTGTCATCTGCAAAGGAAGACACGGTGCTGTGGCTGACATCCTTGTCTATGTCAGATATGAGGATGAGAAACAAGATGGGAGCGAGTACTGTGCCTTGTGGAACAGCTTTTCACCGTAGCTGCCTTGGACTTTACTCTGTTGACTACTACTCTTTGTGTTCTGTTTGTGAGGAAATTATAGATCCATCTACCAACTTTTCCTGTTATT